TAATAAAATAAGAAAGCCTCACTTCCCAAGGAAAAAGAATAAAAAAGAAAAGAGGGAGGAAGCAAAAGGAAAGAGTAAAATCACTTACTCTTCAAGTGTTAGTGTTTTCTGTCTTTCTTCCATCGATAATGTTCACATCCTTAATCTATTGTGGCTGTAAAGCCATCCTATGTGAATTACAAAATTATCTTAATTATGTGAAAACGAGAAACCAATCTTTAGTCTCTTGGTTCTCCAGGAAGATTTGCATGCTTTAAAGTTTGCGATGCCTTAAAGTGTAGCTTTTTACATCCAGCCCCTCATGTCATAGGCATCTTTGGTGGAAGACACTACACCGTTGCATTCAAATATATGTATTTATGTCTGTGAATCAAGCTGTTTCTTTATATTCTGGATTGGATCTTACATGAGGACTCCTATAGATAATCACCTGAAAGATCTTTGTTTCTCTGATCGTTTAAAGACAACGTTCTTTAAAGATTTTCTCTTTCTTCCTTTTATTGGTCTGCTTTGAGGAAGCTCCATTTTGAGAATGGCTGCCACAAGGCTGGATAAGATTAGGAATGTAGATATTCGGGAGAAGGTGGACGTGGCTCCCATGGACGACAAGATGCGGGAAGCAAGACTTAGATGGTCCGGGCACGTGCGGAGGAGAAGCATAGATGCCCCGGTTAGGAGGTGTGAGACGTTAGCATTGGCANACCTCTCTATCCTTCTGGGGTAGGGGTAAGGTCTGCGTACATTCTACCCTCCCCAGACCCCACTTGTGGGATTATACTGGGTTGTTGTTGTTGTTGTATAACATACAGTAAAAACCATTTGCCATTTCTGATTTTACTTATTTCGATAGGAAGGGGTCGCGGCTAGGTCATGATACTATAGTAGATGGCATGCTAAAAGATGGACTCTGGGATGCCTATAATGATTTCGGGATGGGCGTCTGTGCAGAACTATGTGCTGATCAGTATAAAATCACAAGACAACAGCAGGTAACATCTGTTGCTACCTCAAATTTTCAAGATTTCTCTCTTCGTCTATGAATCATGTTAGGAACTTGCAGTCAGCATTCCTCTCTTTTTCTGCCTGTTGACCTTTCCCTTTCTCCATTGTTCATGAGTTGGTCTTTTTAGTAATACATCTCCACCTGTTTGTCTAGGTACTCTACTTTTTAGTATCTTTCTTGTATCGGGTGCTCTTCCCAAATCAATAAAATTATTATTCTATTAAAAAAAAAGTTCCACGACCAATCAAAAGGACAAACATGTAATTTCCTTGTTATCAACCTCTTTCTCACGGGGGTGTTCCTGCCTCCTGTTTTCTTACTTTTCCTTTTGTGGGAACTGGGAAGTACTATAAGGGTGTTTTTATTGTAGAGCTTAGAGCTGCTTTGTTTTCTGGAAGCAAATGCCTTAGAATTGTGAAAACGTAGTGTTAAACATGATTGTCTATTGAATTTTCTACCTGTGCTTTATCTTCTTTCTCTAGGATTCTTACGCTATTCAAAGCTTTGAGCGAGGAATTGCTGCACAACGTAGTGGTGCATTTGTGTGGGAAATAGTTCCGGTGAGATTCTACATTCCTTTTTTAGGTATAAATGATGCTCTAGAAAGTTGAGAGTTTAGACTAAAGTTTTGATGTTTCGTGCAGGTAGAAATTTCTGGTGGAAGTGGAAGACCATCTACATATGTTGATAAAGATGAAGGTTTAATAAAGGTGAACCAGATTCGTTAACAAACTGACGTATAGTACTTACTTTTTTTTTTTTTTTTTTCCAT